GACACTTTCTTTGTGCATAAATTATTGAGGCAGCAAGGCTTAGGGCCTGTTTACATGGAGGTGGGGGACCCCAGGTAGGTGAGGTAACCCGCTTAGGTGAGGTAACCCGCCTGTCCATATAATCTCTCATTTTCATTTGATCACGTTTACATGATAGGTGGGGTGACCCGCCAAGGCGGGTAGCCCGGTCTACCAGACCGGGTTACCCTCTCAGCCGGGGTCACAATTTTTCATGTAAACGTTTCAAGGTGGGGTAACCCGCCTGGCCGGGGTCGGATTCGTGATACATCAAATTCGCGCAAAATTCGCTTTCGCGGTGTCTTTGCATTATGATTAAAGTTAACAATAGAAAGCTATTGCACTGACGGGTTGCAGCAAGAGCAACAAGTGAGTGAAGAAGTGCATTAATCGCCAAAACTCGTGGTTTGCCAGCATTTTTCTTGTTTACGTGCTTAGCGACCATTCAATAATCTTGAGAAAGTGCACCCCGGGAAGGCGGGGTTGTAATATTGCATGTAAAGGAGGGTTATCTTTTTACCTCACCTAAGCGGGTTACCTCACCTACCTGGGGTCCCCCACCTCCATGTAAACAGGCCCTTAGAAAAACTTTGCGAGATATTTGTAAGCTAATATAAACTTTGTGTAATGTACAGTCGATGCGACAATTAATACACTGACGAAACGCTTCCGTCAAGAAAAGAAATACTCATGTTAAGCTCATAGGTAGTTTGTTTCTCATTCACTATATTAAACATCTTCGAAAATAAGAAAGGTATTATTAAAATTCTAGTTTATAGTTCTGTCATTGATGTTAATCAGATGGTACTGATGTTTGCAACAGTAATAACAGGCGACTAGGGGCAATTTGCGTAGGGTGCCTCATGCATTTTGATCAAATTATTACAGATTTCCCATAAATATGGAAATTGCAGCTTATCTATTGGAAATATAATTTTGGTGTTGTCCCGGGGTGGGGAACTTGTACCCCATTTTTAAGCCCCATCGTGGGGCATTTGCAGCTTCTCCAAAACAAAATGACAAATACCCGACAAATGCGCGGGGGCGGGGATGGGGATGCTTGGAATTGACTGAGCCAGTATTTTGCCAGGAAAGTTGTCTATTTTGTGTAATATATAATATCTAAACAAAACAGCCCGAAAATCGTTCGAAAATATAGGCAACTAGGAATTTTTTACAAATTTATTTTCTGACGCTGTTAGTTAGCTTTAATCTCATTAGCATTATGTAGCATACTGAAATTCAACACACGTGGTTTGCGGTTTACCTTCGAAAGACGCTTTATTTTTAGTTTTTCATTGAAATATCGGGTTAAAAACAAGCACATAATAATTTACCGATAGAATTCATCAAAATAAGCAAGACTTTGAAGGCAAAAAGCTAAGCTGGAAGGAATTCGTCGCGTTTGAAGAGTATCAAAGAATATGTGTGGTAGACATAGCAGGCTCAGCGATTCTTACTGTTTTCTTACCTGGATTTTCGCGTTTATCTTGCTTGTTATCCTCCAGAATCCTTCAAAATAATTTGCTTGACTTGTACTTTGTCCAAATACGTCGATACAAGCTATCATGGTCATTCTTCGCAAAATCCGCAACAAAATCCTTGCCGCATTTCTCATTTTTCAAAAAAATCGTTGCGTTACGCTAATAACCGACCGGGGACTGGAACTAGCCACATAATTGGGCAAAATTTGTGGGCCAAATTTGGAGTTTGAATTTGGAGTAACGCAAAGTTTTGCGCATTTTTTTCGTTATTAAAAGGTCCTGAATCGAAGCTCCTATATTTACAGGACCGGCAGACAATTTATGAGTCTCGATGCTTACGCAAGCAAGACTACATATGATTTGAGGACGTCTAGAGGAGTCCATGCTTTATGGCCAAAAATTGGAAATTTTTTCTTTCTTCTTTTTACCGAAAAAGGCCGTATGACAGTGTTTTATGACCTTCTAGATAGAAAACTAGCTATTTTGTACTATAAAAACATTGATTTAAAAAAGTCCAAAGTTTTGCATTTTTTCAATGTTGTTAGCCCATGGTTTTTGGTCAAAAAATGGAAATTTTGTCCTTTTGTTTTTTTCAGCAAAATAGGCCAAAAGAAAGTGTTTTCTGACCTTTTAGACAGAAAACTAGCTATTTTATACTATAAAGACATCGATTTATAAAAGTCTAAAGTTTTGCATGTTTTCAAAGTGCCCGGGTTAGTTCATGGTTTTTGGTCAAAAAATGGAAATTTTGTCCTTATTTATTTTTCACCAAAATTGGCCAAAAGAAAGTGTTTTCTGACCTTGCAGATAGAAAACAAGCTACTTTAGCATACATCAACATCGATTTAAGAAGTCGAAAACTTTGCATTTTTTCAAAGGGGTTAGTGTATCAGTGTTTGCTAAAAATTGGAAACCTTGTCTTTTTTCGTTTTTAGCACAATAGGCCAAAAGAGACTTTCTTCTGACCTTGTAGATAGAAAACTAGCTATTTCATACTTAAAAACGTCGATTTAAAAAAGTCCAAAATTTTGCATTTTTTTAAGGTGGTTAGACCATGGTTTTTGGTCAAAAATTGGAAATTTTGTCCTTTATTCTTTTTTAGCTAGACAGGCCATAACAACGTGTTTTGTGACCTTGTAGATAGAAAACTAGCCATTTTAGACTATAAAAAAGTGTATTTAAGAAAGTCGCAAATTTTGCATTTTTCTAAAGGGGCCAGTCCATTGTTTTTGGTCTAAGACTGGAAATTTTGTCATTTTTTCTTTTTCAGGAAAATAGGCCAAAACTCAGTGTTTTGCGACCTTGTGGATAGAAAATTAGCTACTTTAGACTATAAAAACATCGAGAAAAGAAGTCGAACATTTTTCATTTTTTCAAAGGGGTTAGTCTGTGGTTTTTGGTCAAACATTACTTATGTTATTCTTTTTTATTTTTCAGCAAAATAGGCCAAAAGAAAGTGTTTTTTGACCTTGTAGATAGAAAACCTAGCACATGGATTTAAAAAAGTCGGAAATTTTGTAAGTTTCTTTAGTCCATGCTTGTTGGTCAAAAATTGGAAATTTACTCTTCTTTATTTTGAGGCAAAATAGGCCGAAACAAAGTAGTTTGTCTCGTTCTAGAAGAAAAGTAACATTTTTTGACTATATAAACGTGAATTTAAAAAGTCAAAAATATTTGCTTTCTGTAAACTTGAGCTAATAAAAATAGTATCCACATTGGAGAAATAGGTGCGTTATCACTAACTAGATCTTTATAATTATTTATTAAAGCGTGATTTATGGACTGTTAAGTAGCTATAGCTAATCGAGGCGTACAGGGTGTCCCAAAAGGTCGTTCCTTTAGTTTCATTAGCTAAAACTTTTGATCAACACTTAATATTGTACATGAAATTTCTCAAAGATGTTTATTGGTTTATCGGGTACATGTGTTCAGAACTTCAGTAACCGGCATGCTTTCTTTGCTTTTTTATCACATTCTGTAGGTCATATAGCGCGTAGGGTCCCACATGATTCATTTTAAGTCTTCTTATCACCTAGTATGCAGGAGCCTCTTCAACCCCCAAACAATATTATTTTTTAGATTAGGCAGCTGAAAAAAAAATATGTTAGGTATTAATCCTAGATATTAAAGATAATCATCCCGGCCTCTTTCCACTGTAAGGCTTTTGTACTTCTTTGAAAAACTGAATTGAGACGAGCTAAACGTTTCTTGGTGGACTGAGTAGAGGTTGTTTTTGCCATCTCAAAGGTCTCCAAACTTTGCTTTTCATGAACCTACTCATGGCCTAGCTTGCTAACTGTTGTAACGGCTACCTCGCCAGGTTTCCTCTTTTGTACCTAGCCTTCTTTAAAACTACTTAAGCGGTCTTATTCAGGACTTTTGGGCTTCTCGTTTTTTGTCTTTAAAACTCTCATTTCTTGATGACCGTCTTACCACCCAACATTCGCATTTTTTTAATTTCTTTTTAATTTCTTTAACTGATAAAGCTCACGTAGCTGAGTGGTTTTTCGTTGAGAGGATATATCTTTCATGATATTCACAAAAAAACAAGGGAGGAATTCGAGCAATTCGGGGTGCAAAATACAAAAAAATATATGGCGGAAAAAATTTACTCTTGCACACGCACCTTTGGCCCGAAAGTGCACAAATCGAAGATTCTAGTCAAAAGATGGCACAACAAGTATGAAAGATTAAACTAGATTGAAAGACATAACTTTTGTTTAAACTATTTTGTTATCAAGTCCAGTCGTACTGCATAACAGACTTATGAATTAGAGGAACGAACTTTTGGGACACCCTGTATAGTTGGAAAAGGATATACGAAAACTCAAAAATTAATTAGTTAATTAATTGATTATAAAAATTAATGCTCTTTTTTCTGAAGGAATTCTGGCTGCCAACATTTGGTAGAAGCTATAATAGTTTGACAATTTTAACGTTTTCGGTGTCCTTTATATATGTGGTAGTTAATTTTTTATCTCAGGTAATTTTTATTTTTCCTTTGTTTCAACCTCGTTAGCATACATTATCATACCCAAAAACAAAAGAAAAACAAAAATTACCTGGGATAAAAAAATAACTACAACATATATCTTTCGAAACCTATCAACGAAGCCATTACGTGACCTAGTTTACGGCCGAAGACGGAAAAGACGTTCCCACACGCCAATTTTTGTTCTGGGGTTGAGGGAGGATGTGGAGGGAGATAAGGCTCGTCTACACGAAGGCTACAGAGAGGTCTACATGTCTCTCTATAATAAATTTAATTTCAAAATAATTTTAACCAATGTTTCAGAAAGAAATTAAATTGAAAGTGGACTGCCAGAGTCCCGTCGGCTGTCCTTCACTTTTGGTCTTTCAGTTTTGACTTCTTTTTGTCTTTCCTGCATTCTAAAACCTTGGGCAGCCACAGTCGAATCTTCTATCTTCATGTCCGGCTTGCAACAAAAATCAATCGTTTGGACATGAAGACGACACCCCCTCTATTCAGATCTACAGTTATAAATCCCAATGTTTTTCTTCTCTCGCTGGAATTGTTGGCTTGACTGGTTCAGACGAATTGTTATCTTGCATGAACGAGTAATAGTCCGCTGGCATTTCCGTCGAGGCACTCAGGCAGTCTAGAAAATAACCAAGACATACGCCAATTTCGATGAGAGAAATATGTGCGGGAAAATCTTTTGGGAGTTAGACTTGAAGCAGTCTGGATAGATCTGGAGAGAGCGACCGGCTAACCAAAGAGGGAACCAGAAAGAGGCTATTTCCGTAGAGCCATCTCCCCTCACAAGAAGTAAGGAAAGAAGGCTGTTTTCGCAGGCTATTTCCACCTCTAACTTAGTTTTCTCTTGGCTAGCCATGTTATTTTCGTTCGCTTCGATTCGTCACTTACTTGACGGATCGAACATCCTGAAGGACATCCTACTCCCCTGCCCCTGTGTCGCTAGCCAAAAGAATCGCAGCTCTAATGACGGGAAGACTGAGTGATGGTTTGCAGCCATCTAAAAATTTCCCCCCTTTTTTATAATTACCTTGTTCATTTTCGTCCAGAACTCGTTCAACGCATAGCCAGTCCAGGAGATTCTCCTTTTGATCACCAAAATACCACTGTGTTATGTCCTCTTCATGTATCTCGAGCATGTGAACACACTAAATTAAAAAAACATCATGCGGATGAATACAAACGAACCACTACCCTCGGGAAGAGAAGAAGTAGCCTCTTGATAGAAATCCCTGGGGCTGATAATGGAAAGCCTAAAAAGCGGCAAGATCAAAGGCCGTTGTCATTCTCTTCTTGAGGTTCTGTTTTAGTAATTTAGTGATAATATTGTCCGTCGGAGCTCCCCGGGGGTACTGACCGAAGTTTTATACGAAGAGGCTCCGCCCCTAGGTCCAACCCCATACCCTTGTATATACCATTTTTGAAAGAGAAGATACCCCTTCCGTAAACCTTCTACTGACAAATGGTGCCCTTTTCATAAAACTAGTTTAGAACACTGCACCCTTTTACTTGTAAACTGCTGTAAACAAGTTAAATGCTCTGTTCTCTTAAATTATAATAAAGTAATAAACCAGAATGTTTTCAAGTCTCTTTCACAGATGCGTTTATGGCAAAATCGATCATCTCGTTGTATATTAGAATTTGTAGCCTGCCAACAGGTGTTAAAAAAGAGAGTGGTAAGGGGGAGTCTCTCTTCCCCTTTCTCTTCATTGTGTTCTTGTCTTTTATAGCTATCTTTGTCCTATACCATACAAGAAAACTTGACCACAGGCAGGAGGGGGGTCGGGGGATGTTCAGTGCATTTTGTATAAGCGCTGTTTTCAATTTCGCTTACGACGAATGCAATACCCAGGAGAAATCACATTGTTTGGGGGGAGGAGCTGCAAACAACATGGATTTTGGGATCGGGAGATGAGCAAATAACGAATAGGAGATAACAACATGAGTCAAGAGTCACTTGACGGATTTTAAAAAAACAACGAAAATAAGACTTATTCTTGCTGACTACTGCCTCAGCAAGATGTTCGTCTTCGGGAGGTGTCCGTTAAGATAGAGTAGATTTTGAAATCTGTTCACCCAACTTCGTCCCCAGGTCTAGGTTGCTGCTCACCTTAAATTTGAGTCTTCCAATCTCGTAAGTGTAGTCCTCGATGACGTCATCTGGCAATTCATAATTAAGTTTTACTTTGGATCTCTTTGTTAAATCATCCATTACTTCGCGAAGCTGACTCTTAGCTGAAATCGTAATAAAATATTAGTAAAAATTATCACTCGCCTTCGTGTAATCTCTCACTCGATTCATCGCGGAAAAAAACAGCCTATTTCTTGCTATTTATACAAGGATACCCAGCAACTGATAAAAGTGTTCTTCAAGATGGGAGCACGTTATCTGGAGACCCATAAAACTTACTGCAACTCCGGGAAAGAAAATCATTCGTTATACCGTGGTGTGTTCGTAACTGGTGGGCTCGTTATATACAGACTCCTTTTTTACCACTTATAACAGTTAATGAGATCCCGGTGCAATGTGGAAATGTTTTGAGTACCAGGGCCCAGTTGTTCGAAGGCCGATTAGCGCTTAACCCGGGGTTAAATTTAACCTTGGTTTCTTTTTCTTGTGTTCAAAAGCATTTTCTCGGATAATTTTCTGTGCTATTTTTAGAGCTTCCAATCATCAACTTGTAGACAAAAAGAACTAAAACTTAAATGCCTTTTAAGCTTTCAAATCTGAATTCAAATCTCGCGCTAACCCTGGGTTATCTTGACCCAGCTTTGAACAACTCGGCTCAGGTTGTTAAGGTAGCATGCGAATGAATTGGACAAAACAGTGATCTCATAGCAGTCAAAATTCTGTCACAAAGTAACATTTTCAGTCATAAACTGCTGACTTCAGGTCATACCTCCTTTAATATAAGGAAATTCGGGCCCAGCCCTTGCGCTGTAAAGTTTCATTCTGTCGCACAAATCGTCAAGTACATCCATCAGTCGGAGTTCCCTAAAAAAATAATCGGGGAACATCGATGAAACATCATTAGACAGCTGTAGCGACTTGGAAAGGTCGGATAGGCAGCAGTCGGAGCACTGGAATTACAATCCGGAGCTCCCAAGTTCCTGTCCCGCCCTGACCGCTGGCTGGATTTGTTCTGGCCCACGCTTGTAACATAGCCATCTAATTTCTACCAGATGCAGCGAGTCTGGAAGATGGGGAGAGTGTAAGCATTGCTGTGTATTATTTGAATTATTCCTCTCCTTGATTTGTTTGCTGTAGGACTAAGGAAAGGCTATTTAAAAGTTTTAGTACGGTTAATACATTTTTCTGTGGTCGTATCTTGACTCTTGAGGCCATAATGAAGGGCAATTTTAACAATCACTGCTTTCGACGAAATATAGGCTCGGTATGAAAGTGCTATTTAATGCATCCACGGTATTTCACGTGTAGATTGCAGTATGTGAAACAATTTTTTTAACTACACTGTAAATTAAGGAAGTCATAACTTACGATTTTTCATAATGAATATTCTTTTCGTGGTCCTCCAGGTCTTCAAGTATGTACCCTCGAGGTATGTCTTCCCGGTGATCTGTTTTCTTCATTCGTTCAAGAAATTCTGTCACCATAAGGCGACAAACTGTAAAAGAACAATCAAATAGGAACCATTTCTTTTGTCAGTTGTAGCAACGCTAAGAGCTTTTCATACGTTTACAGATTGGCGAAGTATTGAAGCATATTAATATGACAAAAGCTATAGAGAATTAAAATTTAGAACAGTGTGGAAAAAAAAGCACATTAATCAGTAGTTAATTGCACTCTCCAGAAGCTATTTGAAGACTGTACAACTGAGTTGTTGTGTAAAGCGACCTTAAAACTGCTTAAAATAGCGGCAGCAAAAACATGTTGCTATAAAAGATACATCAGGAGCTTGGGTTCTGTGAAAAGTGCTGACTCGTAAAGCGTACTAATTCCAGGCAAATAAATTTGTTTCAAACTTGCCCGTTTTATTTAATACGAATAAATAGGAAACAAGCATGCTTACTTTGGCATTTCGTCGGCCTAGACCCGGCTCCCTCGTGAAACTTCGTTATGTATGGATTCGTTTTCTTCGTTTTCGGATCAGTACCGACCGTTATTGTTTCCACACTAGTTACGATAGGTAAAATAACTAACCAGTACAGACTGAGAAAAGTTAATAACATCCATATTGACTTCATAGTAATACGCGGAATGTCGAAGGAGGTAAGTTGAAATACGAATAGTGTTTAGGATTACTTTCTTCCAGAGTTAAAACTTTAAGTTATTCCAAGCGTATTTTTCCCCAGCGATGATAACATTTGTTACTCCTCAATTGGCTGTTTTAGTTGGGGTTCTAAGAATGAAACAACAGCTAAACAAATAATAGACTATGATCTTCTGAATTCATTTGTTAATGTATTAATTAAACTGAAGATAATAAAAATTCGCATCAAAAAAGCATGATGTAAAAGAAAAATTAAAAATTATAATAACTGCCTTTACTTCGATCAATTTGACGTTTGGAATCAAAAAAGAGTTTGGCCACTTTTAAGAAACTTTAACAGTTGACCTTGAAGTCAGTAAATATTCGCTTTTTAGAAAATGCACCTGTGAAAACGATTTCTTGCGCTCACCTTGTTTAAACTCGCATTTTACATTATACACCTTCAAAAACATCCCTATTGAAGGATTCATCTGTTTTTAGACACCCGCAAAAGTTAAGATTGGCAGAAACGATTACCGCGAAAGCTTTTTTATTTTGTGTGATCAGTATTTTGTGTGAGATCCCCTAGGTGGCATACATTGAAGTTGAAAAAGGCAATGGAAGAAAGCGTTGAATTTTCAGCGATGTATGTAGCATTTTATTCACCTTTTCCTGTAGTTTTGAACCATATCTAAGAAATAATGAACTTGTTAAGAAATTTTTAAACAAGAAAAATTAACCGCAGCACGTTATACTAATCGAACTCGACCTAACTTTGTCCGATATTTCTAGAGCTTTGACGTTCAGATATTTCCTGTAAGATTCGAGTCAGAAATTTTTGTTTATTCAGCTTCGATTAAAACCGCAGAGTTGAAACAATTCGTTGTATGCGATAGTTAAGAGAAACATACCTTTTTTAAAATAATTCTGCGGTCGATATTTTCAAATTATCGGCAAAATCTTTTGTAAATTATGTCCATAATGAGTAAGAGTCCAGGGCCTAAAATTTCCTTTTAATATACACGGTATAAAAATGAAATCAGAAGTTTGTAATTGCTCCTGTTTACACTGAACAGACACTGCATAAATTACAAATTAATTATCATGATTAACTATGCTATGTAACACAATGATACTGTGCCACGAAAGACCTGACTGGTCATATTTTAGTTATTATTTTTAAAAGTGGATTGATGGTTTGACGCGCAAACTTTATATCACTGATAATTGTGAATCAGTGATCTCCTGCGGTATACATATTGCAACTTTAATATACCAGAGACGTACAAAGAAAGTTCAAGGAGGATTTAAAGAGACTGATGGAACCAATAATGCACAGGTTGATATATGGCATCGCTTTCCTCATAGTTTTACTTGTAAATGATGTAATTTGCTCAGAACTGATGGTCGATGATGAATTTGTGGTAATCGATGGCATAAGGGTGAAGAAAGACTCAATAAGAAACGAAACTAGTGATGGAAATAGGAAGTATGGCAAAAGGGATAAAAAAGCAGAAAAAACTGAAAGTGATGACGAAGATCAAGACGAACAAGACGAAGATGATGATGATGAGGACGACGATGAGGAAGAAATCGACATCAGTCAGGAGGAAGATTTAGAATCCACGAAACATCTTCCAACAAAATGTCACGGTAAGAAAATGCTTTTGAAATGTTTCTTTTACGTCAGTTTAATTAATAAATGTAATTCTACTTTCAGTTCGACTTACGTGAAGCAATAATTTTCTAAGTACACTTATTACAGCATTAGGAGAAATAAAAAAAAAGGTGACATATTTCAATAATTGCATAATTCTATCAGTTATATAAATGTTGTCAATGGAATTCCTGATCATATCAAAATTTAAATATGACTTTGAATGAATGTATTTTAAAGACGGACTACTGTCCGAACAATTCGATTCTTACACTTATATTTTTTAAACAATTAGGATTTTTTGTTTTACATGGTGTTCTCTGCCAGTCTGTTAGTCTAACAGAGTTTGGTTGATGTATATTACTAGGTCAATTAGCATTACTTGCTTTCGGAATATTATGATTCACGTGAATTTGCAAAAGTTTCCAGTTGCCTCTATGAAGAAAAAAAATTCTCATCCCACCCCTTACCTCCTTTCCTTTCTCTACCGCATTGTCTGCCGCGTTCATGTTGTTGTGTAGTCCTCCACCTCTGCTGGCTTCAATAAAGTTGTTGTTGTTGTTGTTGTGTTAACATGGGATTCAATCCGAGTAGAACTTTATGAGAGTGGTTATTGACAATTTCTATAGCCACTGATTCCATCTTGTTTAATAAACTGTTATCTATAAGGGCCCTCGTAGAAAAGCGGCCTAGTTTCCCAGGTGGTTGCTCATTCAGCAGCCGTTGGGAAAACATAAACGGAAGAAACCGGTTGATATCGTTGCTCTATGACTAGTGGATATGATAAACTCTTCTAAACATAATACGATAATTTGTAACATCTAGCATATGTCATAGTTTGCAGGCTTTTGGCGGTGGAAGTCGAAAATAAGCTCACAACAATTGGTAAGGTCAGAAAAACTCAAGAAAACGGACCCCCGATTTATTACAAAGAGTAGGTGATGCTTGTTTGTTGAAATGTTATTAATCCATTCTGTCTACCTTACTCTCTAACATTACCCTAATTCACGAAAGACCAAAACAATGCCTGTGGTTTGCTGGCTATAGTGATAGTTTCATCTGGTCAGAGACCTCTCCCTACCACGACGTTTTGTCATATTTAGCAAAAAAGGCAAAAGAAATGAAAATGGACTTGAAGGAGCAAATGAATTCCAACAAAATGCTGTTTGCCTACAAAATCAGAACGTGACAATTATGTATTGTTGCTGCTCTGCTCTGTTCAGTTCATGATGGTCTCCTGCAAGGTTAAATTGTTCTAGGGAGGAGGGCTGTTTCAGAGAGAAAAAAAGTCAAGAGTTTAACTACTTGTTTCCTTAGCAAAACAAAAGTATCGTGGTTTGTTGAGAATGCAAGGGAAGAGGGAGTGTTCAGTGGGTTTGTTAAACTAGTGTTTCCTCAGTTGAGCCAAGACTGACGTATATTTTTTTCTTAAGAAAAAAATTCGAAAAAACTGCCCTCTGTTTAAACTCTCATGTAACAACACTAACACGGTGTTTCTTGCTTTATCATATTCGTCTTTGGCAGAAAAATAGTTATCCTGAAAGTAACTGAAGACTTCTGTGATTCCATAAAAAAATACAACATCAGGGCTAAGCATCCATTCAGATACAAACGAGGAGGTAGGATTAAATTTATTTGTTCCCGCTCCACCGTCTCTGGTGCTACTTAAAATAAGTTTTTTCCATCAGCAATCTGACCAAAAAGGACGAAAATAGATACCGTTTAAATTCTCTCCCTGTCTTGTGCCTAGGCCTTTTTTGAGTTATTCGGAGGTAGTCGTAGCGCAAGGGTTCATGGGTATTTTTGGTGAGCGGCGGAAAGCATCAAAAACACAACTGCTGCCAAAATATTCTTAAAAAGCATGGGTACGAGACAGTAGTTCTCTCGTCTCCAGAGACCTCAGAGCGGCGGGAAATCAAGCTGAGAGAGATTATTTGAAGCACATTGACTGAAAATGACCCTTGCATCCGACTGTAGAAAAGACCCTTGAAGGTCATTCTGGTTCAATTCAGGACCATTAGGTCATTAATTTCAGGTCCTCTAAATCTGTTAAAGACGGCCTTAACGCTTTGTAGCCTGCGAACACAGCCGTCTCTCCTCTATCCTTGCCGCTAGGGACCATTCGTCTCTCGAGTAGTCTAACATGCTCTCTAGCATAAATACGGCAGTACTCAGTTGAAAGCTAAAGGGTGCTGTATTTTTGTTATGCCAGCAAAAAGCTATTACCGTAAACACATCGAAGAAGTAACCAAAGAATCCAAAATCCAGAAATGGATGTTTGCGACACCTGAAGAAGATATAGATGATCCTACTGGCGAAATAAGGCGGCTCAAAAAACAGGTACAGAGAATTCTACAAGGGGTTAGTGGGAGAAGTAAGTTATATCTTGGAGTAAAAAGCAAGTTTAAGACGTCCGTCTGTAAAGGAATATTTTGCATTGCTCAATAACAACTACATCAAGTGTAAACGTATATACGGGGTGGGGGAGTTGTCTTTCATGATACAGGCAAGGACTAATAAGGGTTAATAACACGATAAGTCAGAATTAGTCAAATTAGATAAGGATTAACCTTACTTAGGGTAAGAATAACGAACTATTACCTTAGGCAAGGTTAGGTAAAGATTATTTAAGAAGTACGACCCGTTAATCTGCTAAATTCAATAAGGATTTTAATCGTGTTTTCACTTCTTACTAGTGTCATGACATGTTAGTGGAAACACAAGAATTGCTCATCCATTGGTTTATGAAAGCGCAATCACGTGATCTGACTAAGTGGCTCTGTGCTAAAAGAGTGTTGCGTGACGACAATCAAGGTTAGTTACACTAATTCCACATCCATGCCTCGAGGAGCGTGCGATACTGCCCAGAAAGGATTGGACCTTCAAATTTTTTCGCGAATTCTACAGTTTTTAAGGCCCCCAGTGCTTTAGCTTGGCTATCAAAGTCATTTTTCAAGAAACATTTTTCTGATTTACGAAGAAAATTTTCAATGATCTAATGCAAAATAATAACGTGGTCAAAGTGAAAGCCTGGATACGAAGCTGAATGCGTGAGAGTAGAAACAATTGAAATTAAAATGGAATGAGTTGATTAACGAAATGCCTTTTTTTTCTCGATTTAGATTGCCTTCAAGTCGAGATGCCAAAATCCAACAGGGTTCCGGCATTGAGACCAAAGACGCCAAAGACTGAAGCAAAAAGTGTTTCTCATGAGGAGCTGTAATTTTGACACAATTTAGAAAAATAAACGGAAATATATAAAATAGTTTTAAAAAAGTGATAAAAACCATGCATAAAAATATATAAACAAGGAAAGGTAGAAAGAGAACAGATACATACAGTTCGTAGGTAGGTAGTAAAAAATGTTTGTCAGTTATAAAATCCAAACGAGTTCAGTATCGCAATAGGCTAATCTTCATCTACATCTTGCAGACTTGTTAGTAAATTATATAAACGTCCTTGATTTTGAAGATCCTCAAGCGTCCCTTGTTCAATGACGCGCCCACGATACATAAGAGCAATGTGGTCTGCAGCTTCAATAGTTTGTCGATGTCTTGTGAGTATAAGACAAGTTCTGTTGCGGCAGAGAATGTGCGTTGCATCGTTTACAGCCTGTAGAGACAGCGTCAGGCATATTCTTTTTACAATGTGAAGAAATAACCACCGTAATAAAAGAAATGAAATCACATCTGCAACGGGACTCAAACCTCTTAACTTCAGTTTCTCGCAACGGGGCCGTTGTGGGTCCAAATGTTATACGATCATCCATTACAAAAGCATACAATATTTGATTATTTGCTGGAAAAACACCCTCACCAGACTCCAGTCTTAAATTCATGATCAACGGTGATGTAAAGAGAAAAAAAGTGATGTATTTTTTTTTTTTTCAAATGGACAACAATTTTCCTTGGTATATATACTCTTCTACAGATCACAGAAATGACGTCAAAATGTTTAAAAATTAAGTGGGACCACGGGTCATAAGCGAGGGGTTTCCTTGAACATTTTGGTGTCATTTCTATAATTTGTCGGATTGCAGACCGTGGAAAATTGTTGTGTATTTGATTTTTATAATTAAATTAAGGGCCTGTTTACATGGAGGTGGGGGACCCCGGGTAAGAGAGGTAACCCCCTTTGGGGGGGTAACCCGCCTGTCCATATAATCTGTCATTTTAATTTGATCACATTTAAATGACAGGTGGGGTGACCTGCCGCATGTTACCTCACCTATCTGGTGTCTCCCAGCTCCATGTAAACAGGCCCTAAGTTTTTTAAACCTCCACTCCGGTGAGGTTTCTTAGGAAATCAAGCGCGTGCATTGCGCAATCATTACGTCATTTCCATGGTACATGCACTCATAGACCCTAGCCTTAGACCAATCAGCGCGCGATAAACCGCTCATTTATTGTAAAAAAGGCAGAGGTTAACAGACAGACATGCCAGGCAGATAGACAAACGCACGAATGGACATTAAGACCAACATTAAAAAGGTATTGCGATCAGTGAAAGATATATTGATATCTTGATAATTTATCCTACCTGACTTTCTTCTTCTAACTCATCAAGCACTATAATCGGTGGTCCTCTGATGATCGCTCGTGCTATGACTATTCTCATTTTCTGACTCTCATTTAAAGAGATCTGATCTTCATCGGGGAGAGTATCATAACCCTACAACATCAAGCAAAGGGGAAATGATTGCTTGCTAATAGAGGAAATACCATACAAATATCTCGAGACACTGAAAAGAGTTTGCGTAAAATACAAGTTAAACTTCAAACAAGGGTAAGGAGCAAAAACCTTTGGAAGAACTTAAAAAGGCATTGTATAAAAAAAACGATGAAAACGTTAAGTTTTATACTGGCAGTAAAATAATCGATTACTTGAAAGTCTGCTTGATTCTTCTGGATCACACCGTGTTTTACGCAGATGGTAGTTCTGAGGGCGCGCGAAATATTATGAGACGCGCCCCGGGGAATTGTTTTTTAAAAACTCTTCTGCGGCGTGCACCGCCCTAATACTTGCGCTCTATATTTTGTGGGGCACGTTTCAGACCTTATATACCAAAAAAGTCACATCACTAAAATATAAAAGGCATCGCCGTGTACCGCCGCGGTACTACTAAGTGCAGATCTTATCGAAAACGAGCAAACTGCATCGTATGACTCAGTGGTAACCTGTGCACGTGAAAAACGCGACTCACCTTCGGTAGTTCCATGATAAATTCGTGCGCGTAGGCTGAATAGGCAGCGTCTTCAATTTCCCGCCTGGTTACTGCGAATGCTCTTTTTTCGTTACCATAACTTATGTTTTCAGCAATGCTATACTGTGGCAGGAAACATCGATGGGATACTACAGCATATTGCGCGCGCAACCAAGAAAGGTCCAGTCCCTGGATATCTGTTCCATCAAGAAACTGCAAAAGAAATATAAAAAGTGATGTTTATAGCATTTCATGTTTCATAAGGATGAACGTTCCAACCAGAAATGGTGGAGAGGTGACCCAGGGAGCTTAAGCAGCCAAGAAGAAAACACTTAGGAGACGTCAAAAAACAAACAAACAAAAACAAAGAAACGGCTGGTTTTGTGAGCAAAACAACAGGCCCCAGCGGTTGAAAAGGTGGATAACGCTATCCACTTGATTAATCTCTATTCAGTGGTAAACGCAATGGGTTTTCGTAAAACTTCTCTTGCTGGATAGTGATTTATCCTCTGGATAGCACGTTTAAACAACCGGGGCTAGCTCTGCAAGAGCAGCAACCAAAGACATATAAAATATCGCTCATCTATGGAATAAACTTCCAGAAGATGTCAAGCTGGCCGATAATGTTAATGTTTTTAAGTCTAAGCTAAGATCACTTCAGCTGCAATTTTTACATTTTTATATTTTTTTTGCAATTTTTATAGTCTTTTATATTCATGTGTACATAGATTTTGAATCGTTGAAGTTGCCTGATGAGTGTGGTCCTACAATTTCGGACCAGACGAAACAGCACTGTCGCAATAAACGATCAATGATTACTCCTGAAACCTGAACTCCTGTGATCATTACTAGATTTTGATTATATAAATTAATTTTTTATATTAGATATTATTATTGTAATTGTAGATTTAATGCACGTTCGTTTTTTCATCGAGCACTTGTGCTCTTAGACGATTACGTGGTTAAATAAAATATTGATTGATTGATTATTGATTGATCAGCAAGTCGACAGCGACAAACCAGTGAGTGGCGCCGGATCTCCCAGTTGTAGACCTGGATCAGTACAATAACAACTTGTAGAAAAATATGAAACGGCAAACTGATCATTACGGCAAGGCGATGAAGAAGTAAACAAATGGTAATAGTGATGGTGATGGTAATGATGATGATGATGATGATGATGATGATGATGATGATGATGATGATGATGATGATGATAATTATTATCTCGGATTAAAATCTCTGGGAACAGACTGTGGTACATTTACAACTGAAGACTGTTACTTACCAGTGTACCTCGAGTGGGTGCAAAGAAACGTTCTACCAACAATTCCAGAGGATTTAACGTTTCGTTATCCAGCGGCACAAGTGCCAATGTTTGTCCTTCACTCACTTTCGCGTTTAGATGGCTTAACAATGACTTGCCCTGGACGAGAGGGTCCGGGAATTCCACGTTTTTGAAGTCCAAACTGCCTTTAACATCATTCTATGAAAATAAAAAATCACGTTTTAAGAACAAAAATTCATTTTAGGTTTTAGTGATTGCATCCGTCCGCAACACCAAAAAGCTACCCACTTTCACCTCTCAACATGAGACTTGTTTTGTAAATTCCTTCTTTTTCCTGAAAAACATGAACGCTCAATGCTCACCAGCTTGTCCCCCACCAGATCTTTTACTTCCGTTGCCTGGTCATCTAGGAGTCTGTTAAGTGAATCTTCATTGTTTTCAGGCGCATGCGTAGGCGCTCGTGAACTCGCCGTGGCATAAGAACCGAACAGCACAGTCATCAAAACCCTGCAACAAAAGAGTATTTAAGGAATGTAAAATATACCATAACACAGGGTTTAACGATCCTTGATGGTGGAAGGTCAGTTTTGATAGAATTAAATACATTTCTTACCCGAGAACTTGAATAGGTGTCATATCCCCTATGGTAATAAGATAGCAGCCGAACCTCAGTGCGCCTGCGTAAATAAAGAAAACCATCGCTTGTCCAAGAGCAAAGGCAAAACCACTAGCAATGATTTTCTTAAGCGTGCGCCTGTTGGAGAAGGATTAAATGATAAGTTTTAGGCAGAGTTAAGTGAGTAGTCTGAAAGTGTAGCAATTAACAAAGCTTACTCTCTAGTAGGGAAAATGGACTGCAAAAGTGTTGCCTTTTATTCTCACATTTCATTCTTTCCTCTATACCCACATATTTGATACCTTTTTGGTATTTTCTTTATCTGAAGCCCATGCCGATGGCCAATCTCACAGTCTCACGTTAAAGTGTAGGTCCTTTAGTCACGGTAATGGGTATCTCTTCAACAGGATACAATCCAGTTTCAAGATTTTGTTTGGATATGCTCTATATATATACGGTTTCCATCTTTCGCTAGACTTGCAACAAGTCTACCATTCATAAGTTCTCAAAAGTGAGTGAAGCGAGCTTCAAAGCATAAGGCGGCTCAGCGACCGAGCGAGCGATGAAGTCTAACCAACCAGGAAAGAGAGGGGTCTTTTAGACAGTCTAATCTTTCGCTTCTTGTTCTACTACGTGGTATGCAAATTTGATACTTTTTCTAGAACGGGCTGTAACTTTTTGAACGCAAGAAAGATTACAAAAATCAGCAATAAAATAATCATCAATGAAATAGCCATCTTACTTGTACTGTTCAAAGATCGCGTCTTTGTACTTCTTAGCAAACTTATTTTCCACTCCAAGAGCTGAAATAGTCTCCAACTTTTTAAAGCTGGTTTTCATAAGCTGAAATGTGACGAAAAATAATAAAAATGCACAAAAACTAAGAAAAATATATTTTGGAGCAAATATGTCTTAGGCACAGCTCTTGATCTGTTAGTCTAAGGTACATACTGCTTCTACTCCTTCTGGCTCCACTGTAGCATCGATTTCATTCTGTTGGATGCGATTCGCAACACCAATGATTGGCAAGCCAGCAAGCACAACTAGAGTCATCTTCCATCCATTGTAAAGTGCCATTCCGAGGGTGGACACGCTGGATATGGTTTCCTGTACTTTGGTACCCAGGTATTTGCCAATGGACTAGAAGCGCACAGAGAAGATTAGTTAACCAATAAGTAATAACAGTAGGAATCTAAATTTAAACTGCCGCCCGGTTAACTCAATTACATAAGCACGGTCTGTAGAACGAGAAGCCGCTGGTTTTTACCCCGGCCGGACCAACACTCAGGGTCTTTAAATAACTGAGGAGGAAGTGCTGCTTTTGTAAATGGTTAGACTTTATAGTCCTCTCGGATAAGAACGATAAACCGTAGGCCCGGCTCCGTCTCACAACCTTTGCCAACATAAATTCTGTGGGACCCACGCACTGATCGCAAAGAGTATCTTTCATGGGGAAGACTGTTAAGTAATTAGCGCCACGCGCTGTTGCGGTGACACTGTCAAGAATTGGCGAACATAAGTAAATGTAAATATAAACTCGAATCGTCTGGTACAGCAGACAGGACGCTGCTGCTAAATAAGAAAAAATGCGAATGAACATTTAAGAGAGAGCTTACATTTTGAAGAGCTGCTTCCACGTCTTTTTCTACTTGCTCCATGAGGTGATCAGCCTGCTTTTGTGGATCTGGTAACAACTAAGTTAAACAGATTTTTGGGAAATACATGTCAGTATGATTTCATGCTGTTTTCTTACGGCAACCAATTAATGAATCAGAAGAAAAGAGGACACTAAATCCCTTGTCCTAGATTAGTCTTTGGGAAAAAAAAGTTTCTGTCTGTGCAAAAATAAATAACAGAGAACCTTTCTTCATAATAACACATTTTTTTCCGCTGGGTGTTCGGTACATCACGACTATTTCAATGATCCTAGACATGGCTCTTACCAGAAGATTTGCATTTGGAATGTTTCCTGAGCCACCAACAGAACCAGCTACCATTGATCCTATACCTCCAGTTACCATACCTGCAACTATCCGTCCAGCGCCACCATTGCCCCCTGCACAAGGGACCACCATTCCAAGCCCTCCACTCACTGGACCTGGAAACATCCTCCCGTCACCTGTGCCTATCAGTCCAGGTAACACAGCTCCATGACCTTCTCCGACATTACCAGAAACCATTGATCCAGGGACTACATTCACCACACCAGGCATAATAGCCCCTAAACCTCCACCAACTGTTTGAGACAACAAAGCTCCGGTACCTCTGGTTATTGCGCCAGGAGGAATGGCACCAATACCTACACTCACTGCACCAGGAATCACAGATCCAGTAACTCCGCCTACTACGCCTGGAATCATTCCTCCAAGGCTACTTTCTGCCTTACCACATACCATTGCCCCAACAACCCCAGAAACACTACCAGGCACCATCGCCCCTAATCCCCCATGAACTGCCTCAGGCGACAGAATTCCTGTACCTCCGCTTATCACACCTGGCATCATTGCTCCGAGGCCACTTTCTGCCATAACAGCCAGCTTCGCCCCCAAACCTCCTCCAGCAACCTCAGGCAATAAAGCTCCAGTCACACCGCTTTCTGCACCTGGAATCGATGCTCCACGTCCACTAATTGCCTTACCAGACACCGCTGCCCCAAGACCCCCAGTAACGCTTCGAGGCCCAACTGCCTCAGTCAACACAGCTCCACGAACTCCGCTTAATGCGCCTGGTATCTTTGCTCCAAGACCACTTTCTGTCTTATTAGCCACCATTGCCCCAAGACCTTCCGTAAGAGCACCAGGCACCATCAACCCTAAACCTCCCACAACCGCTTCAGACAATGCAGCTCCGGTGACCCCACTCGCTGCGCCAGGTACCATTGCTCCAAGACCACTTTCTGCCTCACCAGGCACCACTAGCCCAAGATCTTTCGTAACAGCACCAGGTACCATCGCCCCTAAACGTCCCACAACCGCTTCAGACAATGCAGCTCCAGTTACCCCGCCCGCCGCGGTAGGTACGATTGCTTCAAGACCGCTTCCAACCTTACCAGTCACCATTGCTCCAAGACCTCCCCCAACTGCTTCAGTCAACGCAGCTCCTGTAATGCCGCTAACTCCGCCAGGTACCATTGCTCCAAGACCACGTTCTGCTTCACCAGACACTATTGCCCCAAGACCTTCCGTAACAGCACCAGGTACCATCGCCCCTAAACCTCCCACGATCGCTCCCGACAATGCAGCTCCGGTTACCCCGCCCGCCGCGGTAGGTACGATTGCTTCAAGACCGCCTCCAGCCTTACCAGTCACCATTGCTCCAAGACCTCCCCCAACTGCTTCAGTCAACGCAGCTCCTGTAATGCCGCTCACTGCGCCAGGTACCATTGCCCCAAGACCACTTTCTGCTTCACCAGACACTTTTGCCCCAAGACCTTCCGTAACAGCACCAGGTACCATCGCCCCTAAACGTCCCACAACCGCTTCAGACAATGCAGCTCCGGCTACCCCGCCCGCTGCGGTAGGTACGATTGTTTCAAGACCGCTTCCAGCCTTACCAGTCACCATTGCTCCAAGACCTCCCCCAACTGCTTCAGTCAACGCAGCTCTTGTAATGCCGCTAACTGCGCCAGGTACCATTGCTCCAAGACCACTTTCTGCTTCACCAGACACTATTGCCCCAAGACCTTCCGTAACAGCATCAGGTACCATCGCCCCTAAACCTCCCACGACCGCTTCAGATAATGCAGCTCCAGTTACCCCGCCCGCCGCGGTAGGTACGATTGCTTCAAGACCGCTTCCAGCCTTACCAGTCACCATTGCTCCAAGACCTTCCCCAACTGCTTCAGTCAACGCAGCTCTTGTAATGCCGCTAACTGCGCCAGGTACCATTGCTCCAAGACCACGTTCTGCCTCACCAGACACTATTGCCCCAAGACCTTCCGTAACAGCACCAGGTACCATCGCCCCTAAACCTCCCACAACCGCTCCAGACAATGCCGCTCCGGTTACCCCGCCCGCCGCGGTAGGTACGATTGCTTCAAGACCGCTTCCAACCTTACCAGTCACCATTGCTCCAAGACCTCCCCCAACTGCTTCAGTCAACGCAGCTCCTGTAATGCCGCTAACTGCGCCAGGTACCATTGCTCTAAGACCACTTTCTGCTTCACCAGACACTATTGCCCCAAGACCTTCCGTAACAGCACCAGGTACCATCGCCCCTAAACCTCCCACAACCGCTCCAGACAATGCCGCTCCGGTTACCCCGCCCGCCGCGGTAGGTACGATTGCTTCAAGACCGCTTCCAGCCTTACCAGTCACCATTGCTCCAAGACCTCCCCCAACCGCTTCAGTCAACGCAGCTCCAGTAAATCCGCTCCCTGCGCCAGGAATTATTGCTCCAAGACCAGTTTCTGCTTTCAGAGACATAATTGTCCCAAGACCTGTGGTAACGCTACCAGGCACCATCGCCCCTAAACCTCCCCCTGTCGCAACAGACAATACTGCTCCGGTAACCCCGCTTTCTCTGGCAGGCAAAATTGCGAGATCACCTTCTGCTTTGGCAGAACCCAGTGCCCCAGGACCTGTGGTAACGCTAGCAGGCACCACCGCCCTTAAACCTCCACCAACTGCCTCAGACAATACAGCTCCGGTAATCCCGGTTATTGTGCCAGGTGCCATTGCTTTAAGATTGCTTCCTACCTTAGAAGACACGATCGCCCCAAGACCTTCACTAGCTGCCCCAGTCATAACAGCTTCAGCACCTCCGCTCACTGCGCCAGAAAACATATCACCAATACCTCCACTTACTACGCCAGGAATAATCGCTGCAACACTTCCGCCTACTGTACGAGGTATCAATACTCCAAGACTACTTTCTGCGTCACCAGACAAACTTGGCTCAAGACCTCCGCTTACAGCACCAGGCACAACCGCTTCCAGTCCTTTGTTTACGGCTCCAGGTATCATCCCTTCAATGCCTTTGCCAACTGCACTGGGCAATATTGCACCAAGGCCTCCTTCTACAGAGCCAGACACCATAGGCCCAATGCCTCCACCTAAAACGCCGGGGACCTTTGCTCCTAAACCTTCACCTACTGTCCCAACCACTACGGCTCCAAGTCCTCCATCTACAGAAGAACCAGACAATATTGCCCCAACATCTCCACCTACTACTCCAGGTACTACCTTTCCAAGTTCATTGCCAATCGCACCAGGTAGTATTCCCGCTGGGAATCCTGTAATCCTTTGCAGGTTTTGATCGGAGGGAATTGCTTGTGGTATCCCTGATATTCCTGCAAGTCCTTGGATAAGTGTAGTTTCTGTCGGTAGTCCTGATAACCCTACAAAGCCTTGACTAGAGAAAATTCCGTATGGCGTCCCTGTTGCACTTGCCAGTCCTTGGGAAGGTAGAATTCCTGATGAAAGTCCTGTAAGACCTTGAACAGATGAGATCCCAGTTGGCATATCTGTCAATCCTTGGAACGCTCCTAAGGATGGAGATCCAGTCGTCGCGGACGGTGGCACTTGAGAAAAAACCCCATCGGCTGAAGGCATACCCAAGCGTCCCGGCAAACCCATTCCTGGAGTCTGAGATACGCTAGGAAACTGTTGTCCCGCTGCACTAAGCGAATACGAAATATCTGCTACTCCCGGAATTTGGGGGACTGAGTTCTGTTGGACGATTATGAAGGGATATTAGTTGTATTCAAGGATCCTTGAGCTGGTGCTATGTTACATTTCACTGGACTTCAGTGAGTCCTTTTACCCACCTTGTTTATTGTGGTATCAAAAGCTATTTTCTGCAGCCTTGATCTTAACTTCTCCGTGGCATAAGTAAGCATAAATTTCTGAAAGGATCGTATAAGCGATGAGATAATGGTTATTAAAGACAACGGAATATCGTTAGATGCAAAGGATTTATATCTTAAAAAAGTTGCTTTTAATGCCTTAGATGAAATATTATGTTGGTGCTCTCACCTCTATTGTGCCACCAAAACCTATAAACAGTCCGAAAACTACAAACATGCTAGCCCAGAATGGCCCTTCTTTCGCTACTCTGAGTGGATCATTCATGAACTGAGAAGAAAACGAGTAAATCCTTCATTAAAAATGAAATATATTTATAAGTATTTATAAGTACTCACTTAAAGTGCATTTCATTAGACTACGCAAAACGGTTCTAAATTGTTTTAGTATGTTAATACAAGAAATTGCAACGTTTGACCCTAAAAAGGTGATAGTTGACATTCAGTATTAAGGCTTTTCTGTGTTGTCTCAAATTTTGCTATCGAAAATGTAAGTTTTGTCTTTCACTTACACAACCTTTAAAATACCGTGATAAATTGACCCGCTAGGTATTCTGCAAAGTTTCATACGAAAAGGCTCCGCCCGAGGTCTAATCACTTATCCGGTATCCCTTTCGTATGTCTTTCGTATCCCTTTCACAAACTGCATCTCTTTTAGTTGCCGTTACTAGAACATCTTTTTCATACGAATTAACCAGTAAATTAGCGAGTTTTTCTGTCATTTTCACAGCCACCACATTTCGATTAGAGGATCTAAAAATTATATAACTAGATGACAGATTTCCCTACCCTTTTTAACACTTGTTCTTCTATAAACCGGGAGCCTGGAGAAGGTACCCCTTTCGGAAGAAACATATGGGTATGGGCCATTATAGGGTCTATCCCTGGGAACAGATTTTTTACATCCCTGTTGTTACCTTCTGTATTTCGCCAAATAAGAATGAAAGGCCTGGGGCAACCATTCCTGTGATAGCAGCTCCCAATGCACCCGCTAACAACAGTGGCAGGTCTTTGAGTTGCATCCAGATCATTTTGTAAGCCGCTTGTCCTTCATTTAGCTGCAATGGCCACAAGTTTTTAGTACAGGTGAAAATCATTTATTGCCCTCCTCTGGGTGTAGACGGAAAGTAAAAAACCCTCTACCAAATAACTTTAATGCAAAACTATGAGACATCTGAAGTTATATTAAGTTTGTGAATGTCGGAGTTATCCGCCCTGGCAAGATCACTGCCAGTGTATTGTAATTGACAGTTAAATCGTCGAGAAAAACGCAAGGCTCCCTTTTGCGCTTTCCAACGCAGTGGATATCATTCCTTTCTTTTGTTAGCGCTGACCTAAGCCTTAGAAAAGAAATGTTGATTTAAAACCTGTTCAGTTAGTGATTTTAAAAACACTGTTCTTAACAACTATTAAAACACAGACGCTTTGTGAGTAATACCTTACAAAGTAATCGACCCCAAGTTATGGCATTATGTGTTTGATATGTTTTCTACAGAAATATTATTTACCCTATCTTGGATCATCTGACGAAGCTTTGATGTGAAGCCTTTAACTTGGTAGCTAGTCTCCTCCCACTGCTCCTTTGAGCTTGACTCCGGTATTTCTTTCCCATTTTGAACTGGGGACTTGGTCTCTGAGACTTGTTCTGACAAGACATGAAGATAAAGCTAAAATCAACAAACTGATCATCGAATCCATCGAAAACAACGAGGTTTTATATATTTGCTGTGATGGACGTTTTCCTCACCTGACTTCTGGAGCTTCTCTAAGTGTAAACTTTGCGACTCAAAATGCTGAAAAAGATGTACAGATTATTGTCTTATAAGTCTCTTTGCGGGCAAGAGTTTTTTTGGGTGGGAGTGGAACGAGCGAGGAAACGACGTATCTTCGTCCAGCTTCCTTCCTCCACTACCTCTCATGCCCACTCTTGATTGCAGCTTCTCCCCAAGAGTCCTCAACTTTTTTTTAAATCAGTGGTGGCGACTGTAGAAAATACTGAGCGATCGTTGGCCCGAAAAATTGTCCGTTTTGAAGTTTCACTTGGAACTGGGTCCGTGTTTTGCCGAATTGCACTATGGGACTTTGTCACAGTTTTACCCCATCTTCATCTGCAACTTGGTAATAGCAGAGATAACGACCCTAAACAATCCCAAAGTGCAATGCGACACAACACTGACCCAGTCTCACGCGGAAGCTGGTCAATGCACCTGTACCGCAGGCTAACGGGCCCTTGCATGAAACGGTCGCACGGTACAAAAACCACCTTGCTGGCTGGCAAACAATGCAGTGGAACCTTGAAAGAAAGGTGACGTAATCTCCGTTTTTCTTGCCCCACTGAAGCCTGCCTAGCATAGCGGTTTTGTTGGGCGCACTACTGAGCGACCAAGCAGCAAAAGCGCGCGCGAATCACTGCCCCCACCTTGTCTTGTTTGCACACCCAACCAAAACCGCCCTGCTACCCAAGCTACCCTCACTGCGTCGTTCGCCAACCAGTAAAGTAGTTTTGTTCCATGTGACCGTTTCGTGCCTATGCTGAAGTGTCAATCACCTGCAATGTAGCAAGATATCTGAAGGCTCCTCCTGACATCATCAACTCCTTAGGAGTCCCCTGTTCAATGATTTCACCATTATGAAGAACAATAATGACGTCAGCAATATGCGCTACGGACACGTGACTTGTTGAAACAACTGTTGTGCGACCATGACGAGCCTGAAATGTTACAAAAAATTGTTTAACAACTTAATAAAAAAACGAACTTTGAAATGGTTTTATTTCCAAAACAATACCACGTGACATTTTCAACCACATGTGAAATCATTAAAAAAGTCAGTATAATTAAAATTGTCCCAAAGAAGAGTGACTCATGTTCAATGTATGATCACACTTTATGGTCACATTTTATCCACAAAGTTAGCTCTTTAAAGCAACGTCTAACGGTCACATTGCCTGAAGTCGTTTTGTTTGAGACTCGAAGCAGTGTTTCATCACAATGTAAAACAAGTCGAAGTTCGTCAAAAAGAACTCCGCTCTGCGTCGCATTATGAATCTTCTCGGTGTTTGATATCTGATAAAACACTGTTTCGTTTTTTTGATTAACACGAAAGTGTTACTACAGCGTTACCAAGTAAACGTGGTAACAATTAACAAACGTACGAACATGTAATCACTCAATATTCACATAATCGCATTCAAAAGGCAGCAAAAAGTCTAGTCGATATTTTTTCTGATCAGTTCTGTTTTCTGGTATTTAAGCCCCCTTTTTCGCAGAGAAATGTGTACGCACCTGATCTAAGTAGTTAGTGAGAACATTCAATGCTGAGCTGTCCATAACTGACAGATCCTCCTCCCACAGCAATATCCGGGGTTTTCGGATGATTGCCCGTGCAAGCGCTAGCAGATGTTTTTGGAAGGAGGTCAGCGGTGATCCATCGTCATTTAGTATGGTAGCATATCCCTGAAGAGGGGTAAAATAGGCTATTCATAGCGAGACCAAAAAAATTCCTTCACCGTTTGTTATAAAAATCGACCACCAACCTTTGGTAAATCCATTATAAACTCGTGTGCCCCAGTATCCTTTGATGCTCGAACGATTTCTTTCAAAGTAGAATCAGTCTTCCCGTAGGCAATGTTATCTGCTATTGAAGTGTTAAAGAACTCTGGTTTCTTGTGCACTATTCCAATTTGACGACGAAGCCAGCGACGGTCGAGAAAGCGAATATCCTGCCCATCCAACTTCACCTTTATAGAAACGATGAGAGACATGGAGATAGGAAATATTAAAGGCCCTTTAACCTTTTAAAGTGCGACTGTGATCAAACTTTTGGTTGCCCTCCTCTTTTCAGCTTTGGAAAGTAGAAGTAATAAATACTTACCTCGGCAAATTTCAAGTCAAAATTCCAATGGGAAGACCACTTATATTAAACGTAAAGTTCAGGTTTCTTTTGCCGCCGTTACTGAATTCAAAAATTGGCTCAGAAACGCATAAAGATCTAAAACTAGTTGGAACAAGAGGCATGTGACGTCACACCCGCATCATGGCTTGCTTTCATCTAACAGAGATCGTCAAATGACGCACATCCACAGGATAGCTTTGCACATGCGTAAATGCAGGCCTTGCCACGGAGATTCGTCGAATGACTATTGCTTTCAGATTTCGTCTTCCCTACGTAATTAGCACTAATCACTACACAGCACAGTGGCTTACCCTTCCATTTTGTGGATCATAAATTCTCTGAAGCAGTTTCATTAAAGCGCTCTTCCCACAGCCCTTATCTCCCAACAAAGCAACTGTTTGTCCTTCTCCCACTGTAAAGTTAATCGACTTTAACAGCTACAGAGAACAAATAAGTCAACATGAAACAATTCATTCAAAATTCTATGTACTAAACTTCGTTCTGCTCTGGAGTCCGGTGTGTTTGATTCCAAACTCCAGGCTATTTACTGAAACAAAATATTAAACAGAAAAGAGTTCAACACGCAACAAGATTGGCTTAGTACACCAACATGGCCGCCATTTCATTGTTTTGAGACGCTCGCTGTGACGTCATGTGTAAACGCTCTATAGGTAACCAACTTACCTGATACTCTGGGCGGGATGGATAATGGAAGTACACATTAAACACATCTAGTTTCCCCAACACTGTGTCTAGCTGACTCACAGCCTGGTCAAATGGATCGTCATCAGCCTGAGGAACAACGTTCAGCAACTTAATGATAATGGGGTGCATTGATTTCCTGTGGGACTGTTTCTCCCTGGGGGGGGTACTCCCTATAATGGCCTATACCGGGAGGCTCCGCCGAAGAGGGTACCTTTTCTAGGCTTCAGATATATGAAAGGGTGGGGATCTCACTAGTTGAGGTATATGAAAAGGGTAGGGAAATCTGTCATTCCAGTCTTGAAAAGGCCTCAAAACAGGCTATCCTACCTTTTGAGTCATAAATGAAATCCTTACGTGTGACCATTCAAAAGAAAGCTACTGAACAGTACTTTCCTGTGGTACTGTTTATTACGCTGTACAAGGTGGTTCTAACTTCTGATTCTGTGGATGAAATCCTAAAGGGTGCGCATTTCAAGTGAAAGCTACTGAGCAGTACTTTCATGCGATACTGTTTATTACGCTGTACAAGGTCGTTCTAACTTTTGAGTCTGTGGATGAAATCCTAGTGCGACCATTCAAGTGAAAGCTACTGAGCAATACTTTCCTGTGGTGCTGTTTATTATGCTGTACATGGTGGTCCTAACTTTTGAGTCTGTGGATGAAATACTAAAGTGTGCGCATTTCAAGTGAAAGCTACTGAGCAGTACTTTCATGCGATACTGTTTATTACGCTGTACAAGGTCGTTCTAACTTTTAAGTCTATAGATGGAATCCCTAGGTGTGACCATTAAGAAAAAAACTACTTAGCAGTATTTTCTGTCATTGACAGAGTACTTTTTACCATGGCTTTTGGACCTGTGAATGAAGTCTTGAAGTGTGACCATCGCGATAAAAATTGTGTCTGCCTCGTTAGCTCAGTGGTTAGAGCACTGGTCTTGTAAACCAGGGGTCGAGAGTTCAAATCTCTCACGGGGCTATTCATGTTTCTCTTTTTCCGCATCAATTGGGCTTGGATTTTCTTATCCCACCAAATGACAGTCCACTTTAGCTGTTAAGCTTTTTTTACAGAGTTAGCTAGTAGCAAATTAATTCTCTACCCCTTCTTTTTTGTATTTTCTATTTGTAACAACTTACAACTGCGTACTTTCGATATTATGCTGTGCAAGTTGCTTCGTTCTTTTTACTCCCTGGATAGACGAAATCCCAGTTTTACCTCTCAAATGAAAGCTACTGAGCAGTACTTTCCTATAGTATTGTTTATTATGCTGTACAAGGTGGTGGATGAAATCTGAAAGTGTGACCATTCAAATGGGAGCTATTGCATTGTCTGAAGCACTGTAAATTTCCGTTGAAAAATTATAAAGATTTAACAACAAAACCGAGTCAGCCTCGTTAGCTCAGTGGTTAGAGCACTGGTCTTGTAAACCAGGGGTCGAGAGTTCAAATCTCTCACGAGGCTACCCATACTTTTCATTTCATGATCCACATAAATTTGGCTTTTATTTTTAATCACAGTTGGCTTATAAAATTAAAAAAAATAATTTTCTTTCATATTCAACCCGCGAAGTAATGAGCAAGGTGATAAACTGGCCACCTGTTTCCTACTTGTACTTATAACTTAATACTTTCGACCCCTGGTTTTTCCAGTTTTGTTTTGACAATGTGGTTCTTACTTTTGAGTGTGCGGATGAAATCGTTAAGTGTAACCATTCAAATGAAAGCTACTGAGCAGTACTTTCCTGTGGTAAGCCTTATTATGCTGTTAAAGGTGGTTTTAACTTTTGTTTCTGTGGATGATTTCTTTAAGCGTGAGCATTAAAATGAAAGCTACTGAGCAGTACTTTTCTCTGGTACTGTTTTAACAAGATGTACAAGACAGTTTTATCTTCTGAGTCTGCATGACCACTCAAACGAAAGCCAATGAGCACAAATTTCCTGTGATGCTGTTCATTATGATTTGTGAAATTACACAAGAGATCTTTTTGTATACAGACTTACCGAAGTAGGTATTCCTAACAGAGATGAAATAGCTGATCGTGCATCACCAATATCTTCCAACTGCTCCCCAGTTCCTGCCATTTGCATGACGCCAGATATAATGGCCATAAAAATCTTAAACAAACACATATGTTGATGCTAATCAAAGTACAGGACCACAGTGTGAGAAGAATCATTTCCTCTCAAAAAGCCCGCTCTCACTTTCTATCAATTTGTAAGTATTCTGCAATTAAAGTTGTATCTCTTATCTTAAGAACAGACTCAATGCTACCAGCGGCCCCTAAACGTTCATACGTTATCTCTTAATAGAGAGGTCAAGCATCACGCTCACGTCAAATTGTACCACGTGACCAAGTTTCCCTATTACTTGTCGTTTAATGTTAATTATTTCTACAGCTAAATTAACAGTTTCACGAAATTCTTTATCCATAAGAATTGTTTTGAGCTGTTTTTATCTGCTCATTTTCTATTTTGAGAAACTCTCAACTTGAATCTCACGTTTGCCGTATAAGTGAAGCTTAAACTCTCTAATATAAGAATACAGTCGAATCTCTGTTAACGGACACCTCTATAAGATGGGCACCTTGCTAAGACCCTGCCTTTCTTTACTCCTTTAGTTGGCTCTTTTTAAGAAGGATATTTCTCTCAGACGGACACCTGGTCCCAAAGGAGTCTGTCTTGGGGGGAGTTGACTGCATTATGAGAAATAGGCCACTTCCGAGCTCCAAAAACCCTAACTTTCAAAATGAGTCCAAGTGCACAATCTTCCTGGTGAAAATGACTTTTATTTGCATGAGAATGAAAAATCATTTCCATATTAAAGGCTGCGCACATAACCTCGTTTTGATACAGAGGCCCGGAGAAACTCGGAGATGGCCTATTGTAGTGACCACAAAGGAGCAGTTCACACTTGGTACCCGAGCACTGACTCACGAAATGGTGTTGTGTTTACATCAAGAGTACTGTACAGTACCGCAAATGATCCCCATTGGCGACCGCATGTTATCCCGTAAAAAATTATAGGAATGGAATGGATTTTAGACAAGGGTGATGAATGTGCTGAGAACTTGAGCAACGCGTTGAACAATAAAATAAATAAAACTATAAATAACCCAACTGTTTCTTTTGGCAATTTTTTTCTCCTTTCTTTGAAGCATTCGATGTTACGTTGCTGTGAAATTTTACGACAGGAAGGACGTTAAGAATGACACTTGTCTTTCATTTTAACGCCTAGGAATAGGGTAATATGAACTCTGTATTTATGACTCTGTTGAGGTTTTCGGATTATTTCGAAGTACACTTAGCACCTACAGCTCGTCAAACTGTCGAGTCTAGTGGTGAGGACCGTGTCGGCACAAACCTCTGTATTAATTCATTTCTCGCGCCTTTGCTGCTGGAGAAAGAGGCACTTACAAAGATACAAAATCAGGGAAGGAGAAACGAGTGAGTGGGGTGAGGAAGTGGAAAATTTTCTATCTATCAACAAAGAATTCTCCAAACAGGGTTCTACTGGTGCGCAATTTTATTTGGGGTCGTTTTCAGACTTTCGCCGTTACAAAAGTTTTCATTTTATCAAGTTGATACGAGGTATCCGATAGATAGGATTTAGGAATAAGGAAAAAAAGGGGAACAAGTGGATCTGAGGTAAAAGGGCAACAAGGATAAGAAAGGGAAAAGGAAAGGACAGGGAGAACAGAGGGAAACCGGTAACAAGCGGAACATGGGAACACGGGAAACAAGAAGAACAAGGGAACAGGAAAAAAAGGGAAACAGAGGTAAAGGCGAAAAAAGGAAGCTGGGTGAAAAACACAAAACAAGGGGGAACAGGAGGAAGAAGAGGGAACAAGAGGGAAACGGGGTAAGAGGGAACAAGAAGTAACAAGGGTACCAAGGGGTAACAAGAGTAACAAGCGGTAACAACGGGAAAAAGGAGGAATATAGGGAACAAGGGGTAATAAGGGGTAACAAAGGGTAACACGAAATAAAAACAAGGAAAGAAAGGTAACAAAGGCAACAAGGGTAACAAGGGTAACAAGGAGTGACAAGGGTAACAAGCTGAAACATGGGGTAACACGGGTAACAAGGGGTGACAAGAGGTAGAAAAATAATAAAAATAAATAAATAAATAATAATCCATATCTATAAAAAGGAATAACAAGGGGTAAGCAGGGTAACAAGGGGTAAAAACGGTAACAATGGTAACCAGGATAACAAGGGTAACAAGGGGTAACAAGGGTAACAAGGGTAACAAGGGGTAACAAGGGTAACAAGGGGTAACAAGGGTAACAAGGAATAACAAGGGGTAACAAGGGGAAAAAAGGGTAACAACGGTAACAACGGTAACAAGGGTAACAAGGGGTAACAAGGGTAACAAGGGGTAACAAGGGTAACAAGGGTAACAAGGGTAACAAGGGGTAACAAGGGTAACAAGGGTAACAAGCGGTAACAAGGGTAACAAGGAATAACAAGGGGTAACAAGGGGTAACAAAGGTAACAAGGGGTAACAAGGGAAACAAGGGGTAACAAGGGTAACAAGGGTAACAAGGGTAACAAGGGGTAACAAGGGTAACAAGGAATAACAAGGGGTAACAAGGGTAACAAGGAATAACAAGGGGTAACAAGGGGTAACAAAGGGTACCAACGGTAACAATGGCAACAAGGGTAACAAGGGGTAACAACAACAAGGGTAACAACAAGGGGTAACAAGGGTAACAAAGGGTAACAAGGGGTAACAAGGGTAACAAGGGTAACAAGGGTAACAAGGGTAACAAAGGGTAAAAAGGGTAACAAAGGGTAACAAAGGGTAACAAGGGTAAAAAAGGGTAACAAGGGGTAACAAGGGTAACAAAGGGTAACAAGGGGTAACAAGGGTAACAAAGGGTAACAAGGGTAACAAGGGGTAACAAGGGGTAACAAGGGTAACAAGGGGTAACAAGGGGTAACAAGGGGTAACAAGGGTAACAAAGGGTAACAAGGCTAACAAGGGGTAACAAGGGGTAAAAACGGTAACAAGGGGTAACAAAGGGTAATAAGGGTAACAAGGGGTAACAAGAGGATAAAAAGGGTTACAAGGGTAACAACGGGTAACAAGGGTAACAAAGAGAACAAGGGGTAACAAGGGTAACAAGGGTAACAACGGGTAACCAGGGTGACAAAGGAAACAAGGGGTACCAAGGGTAACAAGAGTAACAAGGAGTAACAAGGGGTAACAAGGGTAACAAGGGTAACAAGGGTAAAAAGGGTAACAAGGGGTAACAAGGGTAACAAGGGGTAACAACGGTAACAAGGGGTAACAAGGGTAACAAGGCGTAACAAGGGTAACAAAAAACAAGGGGTAACAAGGGGTAACAAAGGGGGTAACAAAAGGGTAACAAAGGGTAACAAAACAAGGGTAACAAGGGTAACAAGGGGTAACAAGGGTAACAAAAAGGGTAACAAAGGGGTAACAAGGGTAACAAGGGTAACAAAGTAACAACAAGGGTAACAAGGGGTAACAAGGGTAACAAGGAATAACAAGGGGTAACAAGGGTAACAAGGCTAACAAGGGGTAACAAGGGTAACAAGGGGTAACAAGGGTAACAAGGGGTAACAAGGGTAACAAGGGGTAACAAAGGTAACAAGGGGTAACAAGGGTAACAAGGGTAACAAGGGGTAACAAGGGTAACAAGGGGTAACAAGGGGTAACAAAGGTAACAAGGGGTAACAAGGGTAACAAGGGGTAACAAAGGTAACAAGGGGTAACAAGGGGTAACAAGGGTAACAAAGGGTAACAAGGGTAACAAGGGGTAACAAGGGGTAACAAGGGGTAACAAAGGGTAACAAGGGTAACAAGGGGTAACAAGGGTAACAAGGGTAACAAGGGGTAACAAGGGTAACAAAGGGTAACAAGGGTAACAAAGGGTAACAAGGGGTAACAAGGGTAACAAGGGGTAACAAGGGTAACAAGGGGTAACAAGGGTAACAAAGGGTAACAAAGGGGTAACAAGGGGTAACAAGGGGTAACAAGGGTAACAAGGGTAACAAGGGTAACAAGGGTAACAAGGGTAACAAAGGGTAACAAGGGGTAACAAAGGGTAACAAGGGTAACAAAGGGTAACAAAGGGTAACAAGGGGTAACAAGGGTAACAAAAGGGTAACAAGGGTAACAAGGGTAACAAGGGTAACAAAAGGGTAACAAAACAAACAAGGGGGTACAAGGGTAACAATGGGTAACAAGGGGTAACAAGGGTAACAAGGGGTAACAAAAATAAGGTAACAAGGGTAACAAGGGGTAACAAGGGTAACAAACAAAGGGTAACAAGGGGCAACAAGGGGTAACAATGGGTAACAGGGGTAACAAAGAGTGACAAGGGTAAAAAAGGGTAAAAAGGGGTAACAAGGGTAACAAACGGTAACAAGGGTAACAAGGGTAACCAAGGGTAACAAGGGGGAACAAGGGGTAACAAGGGTAACAAAGGGTAACAAACAAAGGTAACAAGGGTAACAAGGGTAACAAGGGTAAAAGGGTAACAAGGGTAACAAAAGGGTAACAAGGGGTAACAAGGGGTAACAAAAGGTAACAAGGGTAACAAGAATAACAAAGGGTAACAAGGGTAACAAAAGGGTAACAAGGGTAACAAGGGCAACAAGGGGTAACAAAAGGGTAACAAAGGTAACAAAAAGGTAACAAGGGTAACAAAGGGGTAACAAGGGGTAACAAGGGGTAAAAAGGGTAACAAGGGTAACAAGGGTAACAAGGGGTAACAAGGGTAACAAGGGTAACAAGGGTAACAAGGGTAACAAGGGTAACAAGGGTAACAAGGGTAACAAGGGGTAACAAGGGTAACAAGGGTAACAAGGGTAACAAGGGTAACAAGGGTAACAAGGGGTAACAAGGGTAACAAGGGGTAACAAGGGTAACAAGGGGTAACAAGGGTAACAAGGGTAACAAGGGGTAACAAGGGTAACAAGGGGAAAAAGGGGTAACAAGGGTAACAAGGGGTAACAAGGGTAACAAGGGGTAAAAGGGTAACAAGGGGTAACAAGGGTAACAAGGGTAAAAAAGGGGTAACAAGGGTAACAAGGGTAACAAGGGGTAACAAGGGTAACAAGGGTAACAAGGGTAACAAAGGGTAACAAGGGTAACAAGG